AACATACCTTTAGCTCTTCATGGTTCTCCCTGCAGCTTGATTGGATGCTGTTGGATTGGTCCAAACAAAGTGGATTATCTGGGAATTAAAGGTTCTCTAAGTCTTCCTAAGCCTGAAAAGTTCTTGTCATATACAGCAAACATCTCCTCATGATCCGCTAGCTACATGTCCTCTGAATATGCTGTGAAAAAGTCCGGCCTCTGTAGGCAGCCCAGGCTCCGCACTTGGTAACAAAGACATTTGGGTCCAGGCTGCACCAATCAGCCAGGACGAGACCAGCGAAAGCAAGCACACACATGAACACGGTGCCCATGTCTCACGGTCTCGCACAAGAGTGCACATGTGAGCGCGGTGCCCAGAGAGGCAGTAACATAACATTGTTGAACGTAAACAGAAGTGACGCCCAGCGGTACTTAGCGTGCCTTTAAATGTCGACTTGGCGGGAATGACTGGCGTTAATGTGGGTTGATTCAGGAAACAAAGGGAAATGAATGGGTTGTTTATGGGTCACTTAATAAATAACATACTTTTACATCTTTGCACAGGTGAAGTCACAAGTCATTGGTGTTAAAGTCCGATTTGAGTTGCAGTTCTTTTTTTGATTTTGTCAAGTCAAGTCTAAAGTTATCAAATTTGTTACTCAAGTTGGAGTCGAGTCCAAGTCATGTGACTCGAGTATACACCTTTGATTATGCCTGCTTCTTGTTGGTTGGATCCTCTGGGCCTCTGCTGACACCTCCAGTTTCCTGTAAGAGCCCAAAGACATGGAAGCAAAGACTAAGGGTGAATCCCAATTCTCTTTTTTAGCCCTACCCCTAGCCCTTGCCCCTCCAAACAGAGTGTCAAGGGCTAGGGACTTAAAATATCCCCCTAAGAATTGGGGCTTGTCAGAGATGTGTAAATGTTTTATTGTTGTTTTTTTGCACCAGAGTGACAAGATTATTTTTCAAGGGTGTGTATTTTTTCCCCACCCAATTTAATAGTATTTTCTTTTCCTCGAATAAATCATCATACTAAAATCTTGTTTCTGGTATTTCTGTTCTGTTTTATATTATTATTATATTATATATATATAGAAGCAGCCTAGTTATGCTGTAAGACACGGGGAAATACGTGCGGGAAGTGAGCGGGAGTTACACTGTATGTCTGTGGAAGTTGGAGTAAAGTAGGTGGTAAGTGAACAGGAGGTACACACTAAAGGCACGGGCCATATTAGGTAGTGTTACCGCAAACTTTTTTGTTAAAAGTAAAAGTTCTAAAATACACTGAAACAACATAAAACCAAGCTAATTCGATGGTTATTGCAATTTTTACACCTTTATTTACAAAGAAAAACTTACATTTTGGGCCTCTTTTCGTGTGTCTCTCACCATCGTTAGCCCTCCGTTCAGAGTGTGGGTCTGGAAAATCTCCGTTTGAAGGGCTATCTAGCCCTCCCCTTGGCCCTAACCCTCGACGGTAAGAGAATTGGGACACCCCTACCCCTACATGGACATGTGCATTTTCGAGTGGTAGGGCTAAGGGCAAAGGGTGAATTGGGATTCACCCTAAATGATACATATAGATATTAAGTCACGATACAATATAATTCCAATTTTAAATATGTTGTGATATGTTGAGTATTGCAATAAAATACATTGTGATGTGTTACCTTTTTTTCACCTTGTCAACATCTTTATTATCTGCTGAGATAAAGTTTTCAGTTTGTTCATCAGACTTCAATAATTGTATTTGCAGCATAATGTATGTAGTGGACTGAAAAAGCTCTAATTAACTCTATTATTCAAGTGGTAATAATCTATATCGAATCAATACTTGGCACCGTGTGACGGTGTGATATTGTCACACAAAGTATCGCGATACTACATTGGATCGATTTTTTTCCTCCACCCCTACTAAATGGTCACAGGTCTACATGAAGTTTGAGCCTGGCTGCTCTCTGTGATGAACTGCAGCCTGTGTTCCTGCCTCCCTGCCCAGTGCATACAAGGCTCCACCATCTCCCACCACAGAAGAAGTAGGCAGATGCCCTCCCCTGTCATTGCAGAAGTGTGCTACTGTAAATGACATTAATTAATTCTCATTGATTAATGGTGTGTGGCGATGGCCTTTTACGCCCAGCTGCTCTGTGTGCAGCTCTCAGCCTGAACAGGAGACAGATCTGAACTGACAGACCACACACTGTAAAGCCACCAGAACTCCATGGGAATGTCACCCCTCCCTGGGTCACACAGCTTGTGTGAGTGTATCCTTTAATCGGCACCATGGGTCAGAGAATATGTGGGGGGGGGGGGGGGGGGGGGGGGGGGGGGGGGGGCATGTTTACACAAAAACGATTCGCTGGAAACAGAATCGTTTCTCATTTTTGTTTTGAAAAAAGTTCAGACAGCAACGTTTTGATAACAATCACCGTTACTGTGCACACGGATCCGCAAAAATTACCAAAAACGCTGCACATGCCATATACATGCCAGGCCAGTAGCTGGCGGTGGGACTTCTCAAAGAAACAACACGCACCTGTGTCCTTCTACAGAGCGGTGATGTATAAACAAACAAAATGGCAACCGCACGAATGTTTGTCTGGATGGACAACGAGGTGGAGTTGCTACAGTAGATCTCCACTTTGCTGGAGAAGCGTTGATAAATTCAACAGGTTGAGCAGCACAAACAGAGCTCGGGAGTCTGCCATTGTTATTGTGATGGTCGACTTTCTCGCACATGCCTAGTGATATGAGTTGCACCAGTGGAATCCAGTGTCTCATATTAACTGGACTTTGTATTTCAAACAGTTTGATGGAACAATGAGTCTGATCCAAGTCAGTTTGATGATGGTATGTCTGTGATAAGATATTTAGATATTAGATGATACTCTGCTGTCTTCTTTCCCTCCTTGGCTGACCTTTAGCTTATAGATGGTTAGTCAGCACCATCTAGTGGACAGATGATGGAACTATACCATCTGATCAGTGATTGTGTATTTGTGTGTCTATGGTATCACCTCAGGCAGGTACGAGAGAGGAATACAGAAAACACTTCTGATCGGTTGGCATCTTCCTGGTTTTAACGTCACTCTGTTTTGGTGTCCTCAGATCAAATACAGGAAGAAGAAAAGACGAGGAAGAAATTAGCAGCGTCATCTCTCTCTGTGTTTCTCCATACATGAAGATGGAAAGTGTTTGTGAGTCGACCTGAGGTGAGCTCAACAGGTGAGAATCTGTGAATGTTTGTGCTGTAGGCCTATCACTGTTAAACTACACAGGAGACATGTTTCTGATTCTAAATATGTATTTGAAGCAGGTTTATGTATTTTAAGAATATCTATTTAACTTAAAGGTACGGAGACATGAATATGTCGCGCTTTCTACTTAAAAGACAAACGCATGTCACCTCCCGGTCTCTGTATAAAGGACAAAGACTTTTTTATGCGTCACTTTTAGTTGGCGGAGGTGGGGGAATCGAGTCTCTCTGGAGTTTCAAATTTGATGACTTGAGACTTGCTAGACTGACACTGACTCGACTTGAGACAGATGACTTGACTTTTTTATTTAATGTTTGTATTTTTCTAGATATTTAGAAGTTAGGCCTACTTTAGTTTTTAAAATATGATGACGCACTTGTAGCTTGAGTTGGAGCCAGGGCCTGCTCATCCTGTCAGACTAGTCTGATGAATCACTTGTAATGACCTACCCTAGCAAAAAACATTGTTTAGTAGCTACTCAGGTCAGGTAGGGTGAGTTCAGGGTGAGTGGGACAGTTTTCGGTTTTCTGCATTGTGTGAGATTTCTGTGTGTGTGTGTGTGTGCAGTTTGTATTGGCTGGTGTGTGTGTCTGTGTGTCTGTGCGTGCAGTTTGTATTGGCTGGTGTGTGTGTGTGTGTGTGTCTGTGTGTGTTCCTCTATATATCCTATCATCAACAACAGGCTTAAAGAATTGGGGACAATCTGCAAATTAGATGCTGGGAAATAATCTGTTATCATGCATCCCCAGTAGGCTGGGTACACTTGCTGTTCTGCTAGCTAGGTAGTCGGGCTAGCTAGATTAACTATGGCAGGATTGATCATTCATTACCAGTGTCTTTTCGTACTGTCCCACTCACCCTGGGAGTGTAAGTTCCAGCAAATATTTCTGCAATATCTTGACCGAAACATTTTTATAACCTTAGGATCATAACAATCAAATTCTTGTGCCATTTTCCTCACCTTGGGTTATGCAGGGTCAACTTCCTGTTTGATGTTGGCCCCGCCCCCACATGTGACATCACACCAATGAGTGTAAGCAACTTGATAATGTGGTTTCACAGCAAGGCTCAGCAAAAAAGTTTTTATTTTCAATGACCAGTGGAGAAAATACAGCCAATTTACTTATACTGTCCCACCCACCCTGAATGAACCCTATGTGTGAGAAGCAGACATACAGCCTCTATAAATGTAATTATAAGTAGAGTAGCTCATTCTATCAGGTAGGAAATATCTATCAGAATGGACTATTCTATATATTTGGTGGAGCTCATTTTAAAGTAATGATTATTGTCTTTATGGGTTAATCTGCTGATTACGTTCTTCACTAATCAATTGATTGTTGTCATCAGCAATAAGATGCAAGCAAAGGTGAGAGCAAGCAGCAAAGCGTCTGCACTGTAGAAGAGTCGGTAGTTCAAATATCTAAACACTGACACACGCCTGGTTTGACTAGTGGAGCCCTGTTTGTTGTAATATCCTGTAAAATGTATGTAGGAAACTGGAAATAATTCACAGCTATTATATCATCCCTCTGTTCCATCTCAGAAAACACAATCCTCACATGTAGATCGCACAATCAAATAGGACTGTCAGAATGTCTAATTCTAACTCCTTTCAGTGGCTGATTGTCAGAAAATATGTGCAGCAGCATACGTTGTTTCGTACTGATTATTAGTCTGTGCTTTCATTAAATGATACAAAACATTACAAGCTGTAGTATCTGAAAACAATCTATCATTTGTATCTTCACAGAGAGGGCAGATGGCGACACCCGAAGAAGTCGTCTTGGAAACTTTGGAGAATTTGGGAGATAAGGACTTTAAAAAATTCAAGTGGTACCTGAAGCGGAAGGTCCTAGAAGGATCCCCAGTGATCCCAATATGTCAACTGGAGGAAGCTGACAGGCTGGACACAGTGGATGAGATGGTGCAGACCTACACTACGAACACTGTTAAAGTGACCAAAATTATCTTAAGGAAGATGAATCGAAATAAGCTAGTGGAGAATCTACCAAAACTCATATCAGAACCTGAGGGTGAGTCATAATCATTACTTCAAAACATAGATGTAACAAAGATCAAACATGTATGTTTTAAGGACTTCATCAAACATTAGCAAGCATTAGCTTTGTGGCTAATAGCTCCCTCTTATCTACAAAGACAGAGGCATATTTTGTGTTGCACCTTGGCATATTATAGAAGAAGTTACCAAACCAAGAAACACAAGCAGACAGTCCTGCATTTGGTGTCTTTTCTGGTTGAAGTTTGCTCACACAGAGTTAGTGTAAAATACTGCTTGGTAATATTACCTTCCTCTGTAATTAAGTCATCCACCTCCTGGTTTCTTTGGGCATCATGGAGTTCATAGAGTGATGTCTTGGACTCACAACACATCAGTTGTTGTTGAGGGATTCAAAGTAATTTGACAATATTTATAATATTATTCAGGACCTGGTTGTCACTTGAGCTGAGAGGATTTCGTGAAAGCAGAAATGTGTACACTTCCTAACTCACATTCACCTCTCATTAATTTCATGTTTGTTTTATTCATTCAGAGATTCTTGCTTCTGAGTGCCAGCGAAAACTGAAATCCAATTTCCAAAAGAAGTTCCAGTGTGTGTTTGAGGGGATCCCCAAAGCAGGAAACCCAACCCTTCTGAATCAGATCTACACAGAGCTCTACATCACAGAGGGAGGGACTGCAGAGGTCAATGATGAACATGAGGTCAGACAGATTGAAACAGCATCCAGGAAACCAGACAGACCAGAAACAACCATCAGACAAGAAGACATCTTTAAAGCCTCACCTGGAAGAGATGAACCAATCAGAACAGTGATGACAAAGGGAGTGGCTGGCATTGGGAAAACAGTCTTAACACAGAAGTTCACTCTGGACTGGGCTGAAGACAAAGCCAACCAGGACATACAGTTCACATTTCCATTCACTTTCAGAGAGCTGAATGTGCTGAAAGAGAAAAAGTACAGCTTGGTGGAACTTGTTCATCACTTCTTTACTGAAACCAAAGAAGCAGGAATCTGCAGGTTTGAAGAGTTCCAGGTTGTGTTCATCTTTGACGGTCTGGATGAGTGTCGACTTCCTCTGGACTTCCACAACAATGAGATCCTGACTGATGTTACAGAGTCCACCTCAGTGGATGTGCTGCTGACAAACCTCATCAGGGGGAAACTGCTTCCCTCTGCTCGCCTCTGGATAACCACACGACCTGCAGCAGCCAATCAGATCCCTCCTGACTGTGTTGACATGGTGACAGAGGTCAGAGGGTTCACTGACCCACAGAAGGAGGAGTACTTCAGGAAGAGATTCAGAGATGAGGAGCAGGCCAGCAGAATCATCTCCCACATCAAGACATCACGAAGCCTCCACATCATGTGCCACATCCCAGTCTTCTGCTGGATCACTGCTACAGTTCTGGAGGATGTGATGAAGACCAGAGAGGAAGGAGAGCTGCCCAAGACCCTGACTGAGATGTACATCCACTTCCTGGTGGTTCAGACCAAAGTGAAGAACATCAAGTATGATGGAGGAGCTGAGACAGATCATCACTGGAGTCCAGAGAGCAGGAAGATGATTGAGTCTCTGGGAAAACTGGCTTTTGATCAGCTGCAGAAAGGCAACCTGATCTTCTATGAATCAGACCTGACAGAGTGTGGCATCGATATCAGAGCAGCCTCAGTGTACTCAGGAGTGTTCACACAGATCTTTAAAGAGGAGAGAGGACTGTACCAGGACAAGGTGTTCTGCTTCGTCCATCTGAGTGTTCAGGAGTTTCTGGCTGCTCTTCATGTCCATCTGACCTTCATCAACTCTGGAGTCAATCTGATGGCAGAAGCAATGCAGCGCTCTACACTAACACATCTCCACCAGAGTGCTGTGGACAAGGCCTTACAGAGTCCAAATGGACACCTGGACTTGTTCCTCCGCTTCCTCCTGGGTCTGTCACTGCAGACCAATCAGAATCTCCTACGCGGCCTGCTGAAACAGACAGGAAGTAGCTCACAGACCAATCAGGAAACCATCAACTATATCAAGAAGAAGTTCAACCAGGATCTGTCTGCTGAGAGAAGCATCAATCTGTTCCACTGTCTGAATGAACTGAATGATCATTCTCTAGTGGAGGAGATCCAACAGTCCCTGAGATCAGGACGTCTCTCTACAGATGAACTGTCTCCTGCTCAACAGGACAAAGTTGACACCTCAAACATACGTACACATTTGGAAAGAGATCTTGGCATTATTATTACTGATGAACAATGGAACCATAGTTTGACACAAATACATAGATGTGAAAAATATGAGACAAGTGAGGCCACTCTCGCTCTCAGCTTTATTCAGTGTCCTAAAACTGAGAATTACTGGATTGATGTTTTCAATATTATTTCTAAAATACTTGGATTCCAAGTGAAACCAGATCCTCAAATAATTATCTTTAATCTGTCTGAGAATTTGAGTGGTCTCTCTTTGTCCCAACAGCATTTTGTTATCTTCTGTCTCATTTCTGCTAAAAAAAGTATATTAATATTATGGAAGGGGAAAGATGTACCTACAAGACCTACTAGAATTACAACACACAGTGCTACACTGATTGATAACATATTTACCAATGTAATCGACAGAAAAATAGGAAGTGGGCTACTTATAAACGACATAAGCGACCGTCTGCTGGTCTTCACAACTCTCCAGAGCTGTACCAGGACCAATAAAGACAGTAAGACTACCATAACAATTAGACAGAAAACACAAGCGGCAATTAATTTTTTTAGAAATGATCTAACGAATCAAAACGGGAACAAAGTTTATGTGGAAGATGTGGATGAGGCCCCGGTGAGAACAGTGAGGAAACGCTACCTAACTTCTGAAGTGGCTGCAAACTTTATCTAGATTTTACAGAGCACTCCTGCTGAAATTTTACATGCACCCTGTGATTTTATTGTGGACGATTTTAACAGTAAATTAAAGTCAACACTTGACTCAGTGGCTCCACTTTTAACCAAAATCAGAAAAACAAATCCTACACCCCCATGGAGAAATGATAATATCAAAAGACTGAAAAGAAAATGCAGGAGTGCAGAGAGGAGGTGGAGAAAAACCAAATTGTCAGTTCATTTTGAAATATTACGCAAACAACTCAAAACCTACAATAATACAGTCAAACAGGCAAGAATATCCCACTTTTCAAAACTCATTTCCGATCATAAAAACAACCCCAAATTTCTTTTCTCCACCTTCGATCTTTTAACCAACACCAATTTTAATAAACCATCCAACATATCAACAGATGCCCTCTGCGAGGACTTTGCAGACCACTTCAGAAGTAAAATCGATGATATCAGATCCAGTCGTTTATCCCAACAGACTGTAATTTTTAACACACCTGGATCATTGCTTTTACCTGAGGAAACACTGGAGAGTTTTGCCCTGGTTGATGTGAGGACACTTGGTCGAGTTTTCTCCCAGGTAAAGCCCACAACCTGCCTTTTAGATCAGATTCCCACATCACTTTTAAAGACATTCTATGGATTCTTTGAAGAACAGATTTTAAACATAGTAAATTACTCTCTTCAGACGGGTGTCTTCCCCGCTGCCTTCAAAACGGCGGTGGTGAAGCCCCTTCTGAAGAAGAGTAATTTAGATCCCAACATTTTTAATAATTACCGACCTGTATCCAACTTACCGTTTTTAAGTAAGATTTTAGAAAAACTGGTTTTTAACCAAGTAAATGACTTTTTAAAAAGAAACAGTATTTTAGAGAAATATCAATCTGGTTTTAGGATGAACCACAGTACCGAGACAGCCCTTTTAAAGATTTTGAATGATATCAGGTTGAATGTTGATTCACAAAAACTCACAGTATTGGTACTACTGGATCTAAGCGCCGCCTTTGATACAGTAGATCACCACATTTTATTAAACAGACTCAGAAACCTGGTGGGCCTCTCTGGTACTGTTTTTAACTGGTTCAGCTCTTATCTCACAGATCGTTGTTTCTTTATGGATACATGTTCCTCCAGAACACATGAAATCAGGTTTGGGGTGCCCCAAGGGTCAATTTTAGGTCCAATTCTTTTAAATCTCTACATGCTTCCCCTTGGGGACGTCATCAGGAGGCACGGCATCAGCTTTCATAGTTATGCTGATGACACACAACTGTACATCGCCGTGTCTCCTGATGACACAGGGCCAATTGATGCCCTTTTTAACTGCATTTTAGATATCAAGTCATGGATGGCAGTGAATTTCCTGCAGCTCAGCCAGGACAAAACAGAAGTTTTAATTATTGGTCCTGAAGGCCAGAGAGAGAAACTTTTACCAAAACTACAAGATTTTAAACCTTCACAATGTGTGAAGAACCTGGGCGCCATTTTTGACTCTGAGCTCTGTTTTATTCCACACATCAAAAATGTAATAAAGACAGGTTTTTATCATTTTAAGAATATAGCCAGAGTCCGCCTGTTTCTCTCTCAGGCTAACACGGAGGTGCTGATGCATGCTTTTATCTCTTGTTGTTTAGACTATTGTAATGCCCTGCTCTCTGGTCTTCCCAAAAAGACCATCTCTAATCTGCAGCTACTCCAAAACTCAGCTGCACGAGTGCTGACGAGGACCAGAGGGCGGACGCACATTTCACCAGTTTTAAAGTCGCTGCATTGGCTCCCCGTGTGTTTCAGGATCGATTTTAAGGTTCTTTTATTAGTTTTTAAATGTCTTAACGGTCTTGGGCCATCTTATTTATCTGACCTGCTTTTATCATATCAACCCTCGCGGATCCTGAGGTCCTCCGGCACCGGCCTTTTAATTGTTCCAAGAGTTAGAACAAAAACCCACGGGGAGGCTGCATTCAGCCATTATGGCCCTCACTTATGGAACAGCCTGCCGGAGAGCATCAGGACTGCAGAGACTGTTGATGTTTTTAAAAGGAGGCTCAAGACTCACCTTTTTAATTTAGCTTTTAAATGATTTCTTTTACTCTTTTAATTCTTCTATTATATGTTCTTTTTACTTTCTAATGCTTTTAAATGATTTATTTTTAAATCTTTATGCATTTTAGTCTCTAAATCTTAATATAATATTATTTTAATCTTTAACTCTTTAATTTTTCCTAATCTCCACACCATGTGTGGAGTCCACCCCGGTCTGTCTGGTCGGGGTGGTCTCTGTGGCGGCGCTCCCTGTGGCCGTGGGCTGTAGCGCCTCTCAGTGTGGATGGCTCCCCATAGGTGGTTCTTTCCTCACCTGGTTCCTCAGTGCCCAGCCATGTTATTGACTGTGTGTGTGTGTGTGTGTGTGTGTGTGTGTGTGTTTATATGTGGGGGTGGGAGGGGCGGGTTTTCAATATGTATGTATTATTTTTGTTTGTTTTTATTCTGTGAAGCACTTTGTGCTGCATTTTTAATGTATGAAAAGTGCTATACAAATAAAGTTTGATTGACTGATATAAGGGGAACAGATGAAAATGAAATCATTGAAATTGTGAAATCATTGAAGAGCAAGAAGTCAGCAGATTGGAATGGTATTGATATGTCTATGATCAAAAACATCATTGAGTGTGTGGTGAAACCTTTGACACATATCTGTAATCAATCCCTAAAGACTGGTATATTTCCTAAAAACATGAAAATAGCAAAGGTCATACCAATATACAAGACTGGAAATAGACACAATCTCTCAAATTACAGACCTGTCTCCTTACTGCCACAATTTTCAAAAATACTCAAAAAACTCTTCTATAGCAGACTGAATGATTTCATCACTAAACATAATGTACTGTGTGATCAGCAATATGGATTTCGCGCTAACAGGACAGCTTCACCTGCATTAATGGAATTTGTTGAAGAAATAACAGCTGCAATAGAGAAAAAAGAATATGCAATAGGAATATTTCTAGATCTCAAAAAAGCATTCGATACTGTCGACCATAACCTTTTATTAAAGAAAATACAGAGATATGGAGTCAGAGGGGTGGCACTTTCCTGGGTCAGCAGTTACCTGGAGAACAGGTATCAGTATGTGCAAATGAATAATGACTTTAAATCTCAACTTCAGAAGGTCACTTGTGGGGTTCCGCAGGGCTCAGTTTTGGGACCAATGTTATTTATCCTGTACATAAACAGTATAAGTAAGGTTTCCATATTATTAAAAATTGTTGTTTTTGCTGATGATACAAATCTACTCTGTTGTGGTACGAACTTGGAACAACTTTTGGATACAGTTGAGAGGGAACTGAAATCTTTAAAGAGATGGTTTGACTATAATAAATTAACACTGAACCTGAGTAAAACGAAATTTATATTTTTTGGAAATCGATCAACAAACTCCATAAGAAAACTCATGATAAATAATGTTGAAATTGAAAGAGTGTCAGAAAACAAATTTCTTGGAATATTAATAGATCATAAATTGTGCTGGAAGCCACATACAAACTACATCAAAACCAAAATATCAAAGTCAATTGCAATACTATTCAAAGTCAAAGATTTTTTTAATCAAACGTCATTAAAGACCTTGTACTGTTCCTTTATTCTTCCATACATAAGCTACTGTGTGGAAGTGTGGGGAAACACGTACAAAACAAACACAAATCCAATCTATATTCTTCAAAAAAGAGCCACAAGAATTGTAAATAAAACCACTTACAGAGAAACAACAAACCCACTCTTTATCAAATCAAAAGCTCTAAAATTTAAAGATCTGGTTGACTTCAAAACAGCTCAAATCATGTATAAAGCTAAAAATAAATTATTACCTAACGGTCTCCAAAAGTTGTTTCAAATGAGAGAAAACCAGCACGACCTGAGGGGAACCAGTATATTTAAGAAACAATTAGTGAGAACAAACACAAAATATCACTGTATTACAGTTAAAGGAGTCACCTTGTGGAATAATTAAACAAGGAACTGAAAGCATGTTCATCATTAAATAAGTTCAAACGAATGTTTAAAAACAATATACTGAAGGGATGTATGATGGAACAGGACATGTAGGTTGTCCTGTTGTTGAAGTATGTCTCATTCTGATTGCAATGTTATTTTTATAGATTTCTTGCTTGATTTGTTTGAGCTGTATGTTAACAAAGCAGAAAGCTTAAAAATTTAGGCTCAACATATAGTTTAAAGATAAAATATAGAAAGAAAAAAGGGGTAGGACTACATATGTTCACACTTCCTTCCTGCTCCTTTTCAGACGTGAAATATGCAAATATGTTTCCGAGTTGTATTTCTTTGTTTGATTGTTTTTTTTTGTTTTTGTTTTCTTTGGTTTGTCTTGGTGACTTGCTGAATGGCTGACCTTTACTTTACGCAACTTGATTATTCATGTCTTTCATTTTTTATTTCTTTATTATTATATTTTTATTTTTATTTTTTTTTCTAACCAAAGCTTGTTTGTTTCTTTAAAACATGTCCGAATAAACATTATTCTATTCTATTCTGTACCTAATATTAAAATGTGGATTGCCGATGTTGTTAACTCACTGGAGATGGAGAGGATTAGATATCTTAGGATGGATCAGGCATATAGGTTTGATATAATATGGAAACCACTTATTCTACATCTGCAGGGTACCTCTAACACAGACTAAACTTCTAACCTTGTTTTTTGTCTCTGTTTTTATACTGCTTATATTTAGGTTCTCTGGGTTTTTGTTTGCTTGGGTGGGTGGGCTCTATGTTATATTGAATAATAATTTAGACAAATCATATAAGGTTTTGGACACCTTGCTGAATTTTTTTGCATCACTTTTTTTCTCCCTTTTCTTTTTCTTTTTTTTCTTTCTCTGTTTGTGTGCTGCATGTGTGTGTGTGTGTGTGTACAATGATGAGACAGACAAATGAAGGAATGACGATGTTGTGTGAGGATTTAATTAATAGCCTGGTCTTCTTCTATTTGCTCTATTCGCAGAAGTCAGCTGGCCTCTATTTGGGACAGGAAGTTATGAGACAGACCTTCGAAGCCTAGCTACAATAGATACAGTGCAGGTCAGATATATAGAGTATAAGCTTACGACTGGTCACCACCATGTGGTCTGGCACTTTTGCAGACTCCCTCGTACAGATACTGAGGCTCTGTCTTGTTTGTTTGTTTGTTTGTTTGTTTTGTCGTTCTTACTTATATTCTGGTTTTCGTTTGTTTGTGTGTTTTCTGCTGTTATTATGGATGGTTTGCTTGTTTGTACTAAAACTGTTTGTTGCTGTTGTTGTCGTTGTTCTGTCTGTTTTTTGCTTACATGTTGGTGTTGTATGTCCTTTTTGTTGGATAAAAAATATGGTGTATGTAAGTGATGTTATGTAACTCACAGCAATTTCTCCAAACACCTGAATAAAAGTGTTTAAACACAGAAGAAGATCTGGACGTGTTTGACCTGAAGAAATACTCTGCTTCAGAGGAGGCTCTTTTGAAGCTGCTGCCAATGGTCAAAGCCTCCAACAAAGCTCTGTAATTGGACATATGAACAATTTTAAATATGCTTAATTTCATACATAAGAACAATAGCCAACAACGGCCTGTGTTGAAAGGAAGGACCTGCCTCACTTTCTCTGTTCCAGAGCTTATCAGTAGTCAGCAATTGGCCCGATGGGATTTGCGTCTATTAGTCCATAAGTGCGTTTCCATTAACCCTAGAAATGCGCAAAACCTAAATATCGCAATAAAAAACTGGTAATGGAAACACCTACATTTCGAAAAAACAAATATCAAATATCGAGAAAAATTTTTTACGGTCTCATGAGGTGGTTTTTCAGACATGTTGATATAGAGGTATATTGCAAAAGTGTAATGGAAACACTTTTTTGCAAATATACGTCACCAGACATGACATTGGTGAACTCCTCGTTCACGATCCTCTCCCAGAAATTCAGCTACTTGCCCTGATTTCCTCAGTTATTCCGAATCCTCCACAAGAACAGGGACAGTCACAGAACAGTGAAATGGCCAGTTCCTCCAGGCCCACCACAGGAAGTCAGATTGGCAGCCCCTCTGTCCAGTGTGAAATGGCCAAGTAGAGGTCTTTTCCGGGGTGGCCGGCTTGGTCGAAAACGGCCATCAACAAGTGGATTCGGTGGCTTCACGTCGAAGTGCCAAAAAATATGGAAGCTTTTTGATCTAAGTTTTGTTTTACTTTCTTCGAATGAAGAACTTACACCTCTTCTGTCTGATGAACTGGCCTTCATGCAGGCTGGATTGGGGAAGAGGACGGTTTCTCTTCACAGCGATGTGACACATGTGGAGGTATGCAGAAGCGATCATGTTGTAGTTGTGTAGTTCTAGACAATATAATTTTTGTCCCTTTCATGTGGACACTGTCCTCAGGGTGACATTGAAAATGTCCTCACTGTTTAACTAAATTCAATCGCTGTCTAAATAATATTTTTTCTTTCAATGTAGTTATCAAGGATATTGCAGGCCACTTACCCCAAAATGGTGGAGCTGCAGGACCGGTGGCTGCTTTACAAAGCAAGAGGTAATGTGCAATATGTAAATTGACACTTCATTTATGTAAAATGGGTAATGCAACAGAGAATGGTAACAAACATCTGGGCTCTCAACTCCCTCATGACCTCTCCTTCACCTTGTCACTAGCTGATGTAAGGTGAGCATTAGTGTGCATTAGCTGCTGCCTTCACATCATCCAGGTGGGAGCTACACATTGGTTGTGATGATGTCCGTCCGTCGTCCCCCCCCCCCCCGCCTTGAGCACCTCAAACTTCTTATTGATGGAAAAGCACTATATTAATGCTATGTTATTTGTTATTCCGCATATCCATTTTTTCAATCATGTTTAATTTTACCAGGTGGAAATGGGATGAGAAAAATGTCCGCACTCCCCTTTGAGGCTGAGGGCTACACTGGTGCTATGCTCCGGAATATTTCAGATGGTGGGAAACGCACTCTTTACATAGTACCTCTTCAGGATGAGTTGGACCTCTCACCACTCCCAGCAAATGCCCCAGAATTTGCTTTAATGCCAAAGGCCAGCTGCAAACACTGTTCTGTAGAGATGCCAGTCCAAATGCTGGTTCTACATGACCGAAAATGTGCTAGCCAGGTGAATTTTTTTCTAGACTTTGTTTAGGGATATTAAATTTCTAAAGTTAACTGTGTATGAATATCTTAAACTTGAAATGTACTTTAATCTTTTAGATGATCTCTGATGATGACAACAACAAATTTTCTGAATGTTTGCAAACTCCAGTGCCAGGGCAGACTGAAGAGGACCACTGCCCTCAGCAGGTGGAGTAACTGTTACATATCTAACCATATTTGAGAAGTTGTCTCCTATGTAGGAGATGTTAATGCCTTGTACTTAATCCTTTTGTTTGTGCTGAACTGTCCTGTGATTGTGATAGTCGCAAGACATCAGAATTTCTTCACAGAGATACAGTGTCTGTCTGTCCATCCAGGAAGAGGATGTCCAGTGCCCTATATGTAGCAATATCTTCCCCGTCCTGCTTATTGAAGAACATGTCAGTCATTGTGGCCAAAGGTAATGGTTACCTATTTCTTCATGCTCTGTCTGGGGGGGGGGGGGGGGGGGGGGGGGGTGGTGGTGTCTTGCTGTGTGCACTCAGGATGTCATATGTTTTGTGTTAATTATTTATTTTTGTTGAATGATATGGGGAGAGCTGACATGAACTGGATTTTTGTTTGTACATTAATGCCTTTATTCTTATAGAACTAAGGACACAACCTCACCTGAGAGGGAGCTCCATACTGCGATGGATGATATCTCATGGTAAGTCCGAGTTATTATTTATGTAGCTTTTAAGGGATTGTTCACCCCAAAATGAAAATGCACCCATTATCTAGTCACCCTTGTGCAAATGGAGCTGCCTTAACCTGCCTCTCCATTGACACAAGGGTGACTAGATAATGGGTGCATTTTTATTTTGGTGAGACCTCTACCTTACTGTATTTGTATACAATGAGAGGGTTATTCAGGTGTGTTATTTTTCACAGTGAGGAGGATGTGGTCATGTGGCTGAAAGCAAAGGTGGATTCCAGCAAGACCTTTGAGCTGTGTGTGTCTCGAGATAATATGCTTGAAAGAGGTTTCAAGATGTGGAAGCGTAAACAAAAGGCTACACCACTTAATCCCTTAAGGATGAAATTCCTCTGAGAAGCGGGGATCGATACAGGGGCCCTTAGAAAGGAGTTTCTCACAAGTGAGTAGTGGCCATTCATTAGTTAATTTTAAAAAGGGGAAATACATTTAAAAACCAATTTGGCAATATACAGTATAACATTTGTGTTGTCTTGTCTAATGGTGTTAATTGTTTTGTTGTTGATTCTAAGCAATGGTATCTGGGATTGAGCAACGCCTTTTTGAAGGTGGGAAGTCCAAAATGCCCAAATATTCGGTGAATGACTTTGCTGAAGAGCTCTTCAGGTATTTGCAGTGATGGGATTTGATGTGAGAGGTGGGGTGGGGCAATGAGTTATACATTGCTTTCTTTTTTCATGAATTTGTAGCCTTTGTTAAAATCTTTAGCCTAGTGATTAAAAAGCTTGAAGTTCTTTGTCTTTCTGCATTAACTCCCATGTTCTCTTTTATAGGACTGCGGGTGAAATCTTTGCTACAAGCATTGCCCAAGGTGGACCTGCACCACGTTTCCTCCAGCCGTGGTGCTACGAGTTTCTAGCATCTGGCAAGCTCTCATTGGATCACGTCCTGGACCCGAGTTTATCACCGCTAATAACCACAGTATGTTTAAATTTTAGGACTGACTGGATTATAAAACAGTTTTAGATGTGTTGATTATTGTATTATACAATTAAAGTTCACCAACTATCCTCCAAAATGATATTACAGTTGAATCAACACTTTGTAAAGTTTTTTCTTAATTTGCGTTTAAGGTTGCAGAGGCGTCCGACTTGACCGACTACACTGCAGACATTCTGGATTGTGGCTATACTGGCAAGATCGACATGAAACACAAAGAGAACATTCTAATGTAGGCACACTGTAAAAAATACTTATGTGGATATAACTGTATGGCAAAGGAAAGGTTTGCTTGCCCTGGAGATGAATGATTTTTGATTTCTTTGTATTCAGAGCAATCGGTCTGCATGTCATGACGAAAAGAATGCCCATGCTTCAGCAACTCCGTGAGGGCTTGGACATCTACGGCTTCTCCCAAGTGATGCAGGCAAAGACGGAAGAGTGCCGCAGTCTGTTTGTCGCCGGAGACGACGAGTCGGTATGCTGTCCAATAGTGTTGCTATAGCATAGTTGTAGGTCATGGTATTTCCTTTATGAAAAAATCGGTAGGAGAGGGCTGCATTCCTTCCTCAGGTAAACTTATCGAAAAACATGAAGGTGCTCTTTACTCACGAGGAGGTATCCAAGGTGAATAAGAAAGATATGGTCCAAGGCAGCTCTTCAAGAATGTTTAAAATGCCTTTTTTTCAGGCGGCTTACATCCTCATGAAAGCTGACGTCAGGCTGAAACATGTTGATGATTTATGATATAAGCCACATGAAATTAAAGATTTATACACTTTCTTGAAGAGCTTCCTTGGACCATCTCTTTATTATACCATGGTATGTCCTTTCTTCTTTTTGCTGCTTCTTTGGACACTTTTGGAAGAATGTAATAAGTTTCATTATGTTTTGATCATAGGTGGACTCTCATTACATCACTTCCCATCTGGTGCCAGAGATGAGCGAAAGGGGCTGCAACAAGCAACGCAAGGAGATCCTTGAACACTTTCAAGATTTCTTGCACGAGCTGGAAGGTATGTCTACAAATACTCATTGAAAGTGCTGATTGTGATTTAAGATTTCCACTCTAGGGGTCCACAGTGGTGTTGCCATCGAAGTATCAGGTGTCTGATGCAGCTGCCCACCATGATCCCAAATATGTGCGGATTCCACAGGGGAGTCATATTTGGGCCGCCACTCCAGAGGGTGGTTAGTTTAATTTTGGCATGAGGGTTTGTCACTCCACAGCGAACCAGTCTGGTGTTTGAGTTACGGTGCTGAGCTTGAGAGAGTTGGGTAGTTAGCTGTGTCTTTTGGATCGCCAACCGCAGGGTTGTGGCAAATCCTCAACATCCATGGGACAATAGTATGATGGGTTGGGTATAATGGGCTACCATATTAGGAGAGAAGGGGAGTAAATCAATCAATCAATCAATCAATCAATCAATCAATTTTATTTATAAAGCCCAATATCACAAATCACAATTTGCCTCACAGGGCTTTACAGCATACGACATCCCTCTGTCCTTATGACCCTCACAGCTGATCAGGAAAAACTCCCCAAAAAACCCTTTAACGGGGAAAAAAACGGTAGAAACCTCAGGAAGAGCAACTGAGGAGGGATCCCTCTTCCAGGACGGACAGACGTGCAATAGATGTCGTACAGAACAGATCAACATAATAAATTAACAGTAATCCATATGACACAATGAGACAGAGAGAGAGACAGAGACAGATATGCAGGTAATGACAGTAGCTTACAACAACATTAATGAAAGTAATAATATTATAGTTATAGTTCTGGCTACTGTGGTACAATATGTTGAAAGTATGTATTAATATCTGACAGTATACATGTGTGACAATAGTCATATGTGTATAATAACAGTAGAAGTATGACTAATGACTAATGATGGCAGCAGCAGCAGGAGGCATCTGGCAGGACCACGGCAGCAGCACAACCACACACGTCACACTGTCCAGGCACCGCTGCAAATCAGAAAACAAAAGATTACCACTCTTTAAGTATAACTCAATGAGCATTACATCATATGTAAGCCAATATATATACTGACTGGAGATATTTTTTTTCCCAAGTTGCTGAACCAGATGCCACGTCTGAAGACACCCCAACTGTACCCTCAGTGATGCAGTGGATTACAGGTCAAGCCCACAGACATCTTCTTCTTTCTGATCGCCAGAACTTCAAGATCACAGTGAAGTTTGACCATGACTGTCACAACATGCCTAACCACATAATCTGTTACCCAACAGTCAGTGCTTGCACGGACACCATAACATTCCCCGTTGCACACGTCAGACTATGAGTCATTCAAAAATGTCATGACAAAAGCCATTAAATATGCAGGATTTGATAGAGCGTGATGCATTGTGATTCATGTGTGTAAGCCCACATGTTATATCCTCGAATATAAATACCACCTTACGTACCAAAGTTTGTTTTGGAGTTCCGCAAGGTTCTGTACTCGGACCAATCCTATTTACTCTATATATGCTTCCTTTAGCCAACATCGTTAGAAATCACTCTATAAATTTCCATTGTTATGCGGATGATACTCAGTTGTATTTATCGATGAAGCCAGAAGAAAGTAATCAATTAACTAAACTCCATAACTGCCTTAAAGACATAAAAACTTGGATGAGCACCAATTTCCTGATGTTAAATTCAGACAAAACTGAAGTTATTGTTCTTGGCCCCAAACAACTCAGAGACTCTTTATCTGATGA